TCTTTGGGAAAGTACAATCTACAGAAGTAATATTACTTCTTATGCAAGGTAGATTTTCCTATCCACTAACGTAGAAAGTTTACCACTAGCCCAGAATATATTTTGTTGGAGTGAAAAAATTAGAAGTTAAAAGCTTCAAACTTTTCTAATTCAACATTGAAATTGTTTGTCAAAGTTATAACATAACGATCTGTGATGTTTCTCTTAATCAATGATTTTTAATACTTGAATTGCTCCTCACACATGTTTTGCTATGAAATTCATTGCTCTGGTTTTAATCTTTAATCGTGCGCATTACTACAATCAAAAGATATTAGTATCAGCACAATATTGTGTTAACTATCAAGATCTGCTCAGTACATGGGATATATTTATCGTGTTTCAGAGAATGCTCACCAGATTTTATTCGTTTCGTCAATATGGTTATTAATGACGCAACCTATTTGTTGGACGAATCATTGCTTGCATTGAAAAAAATACACGACATTGAAACATTGAAGGAAAGTAATGAATGGTCCAATCTGAGTGATGAAGAACGTCAAATGAAAGAAGATGCATTGTTAGAAGCAAAGCGAGGTGTGCGGAACTGGTTGATACTTGGACGAGATACACTAGATCTTTTCACATATTTAACTGCTGATGCACCTGAACCGTTCTATGAGCCGGTTTGATTTTAAATTACGATTTTTATTACTGGCGTAGGAAGCGCAAATCTCATTATTTGAACTATGTAAATGATGATGCAATCGCTCGATTGTTGTGAAAAGGAATTCCTTTTCATTCTTATTTCTGAAATTTTGATCATTCTTTGATAAGGTTTATGGCATACTTGCATTCACTAAATCGTCCATTTCAAAATCCAGCTGATTTACTGAATCTTCACATTTCAAGAAGTTAATGAAGCTTCAGTTGCTCGGGGAACGGTTGGCTTCAATGTTGGATTATAATGTGTCACAGCTATGTGGTCCAAAATGTACAGAACTGAAAGTACGTGATGCAGTACGTCGGTTTATGTGGGAGCCACGAGCTTTACTGCAGCAAATAGTAAATGTCTACTTGAATTTGTCCTCAGAGAAATTTGCAGAATGCATTGCTAATGACGAGGTGATTTTTGGATTTGGTTGAAACCAATTTTTTAATTACCCTTCAATCTGTTTCATACTTTCAAAATTTCTTTTTTGAAAAATAAGTTGGGACTGTTTGGGACAAAAGGATTGCTCGATCAAGGACTAGTAAGGTATGGAATACTACTGCTATCCATTTATTTATGCTGCTAATGTTACATTTTTATTCAAAACAAGTTGCATATCTAAAAGGGACATGACTCGAATACCTGTTTTGATTTTATTTACCTGGATGAAATATATGAAAGATAATATTCATAAAAATATCTGTATTCATTGCTTAAGCAAACACTTACAGCGTTCGTATTCTCCCGAAGTATTTTCAATGGTGCTTTCGCGGTTAACCGCTAGTAATATTGTACCAATAAATGAGATTGAACTCTTGAAAAATCTTGCTGATATGACACAGCGAATCTGGAAGCAGAAAACTCAGAATGAAGAAGATTTCGGCGATGATGTTCCGGATGATTTTAGAGGTAATTTTGCCTTACAAATTGCTTGCAGATCGTTTTTTTACTTTTTTTACTTTTTTTCCTTTTTTTTCTCACCGCTATCCATTAGATGTTGGCACAATGATCCTTGTAATATTGAAATCCAGCGTTTTCATTTTTAGGTTACTTCAAGCTTCTAATATGTATCTTTTCCCTTGGGCCGTACAGCTTTGTCAGTTTCGACTATAATGTTTTGACTTTTTTTTCGAGTTCTATTTGCCATTCCTTCTTAATCTGATTGCAGATCCAGTAATGAACACATTAATGACTGATCCTGTAATTCTGCCATCAGGCCATAAAATGGATCGGAAACATATTATGCGTCATTTGCTCAGCTCTCAAACAGATCCGTTTACTCGCCAACCCTTGAGCGAGACTCAACTCGTATCTGGTAGTTTTATTCATCTCAATTTTTTGCTGCCTAAATTTTGTTAATTACTTCGAAAAATGTACCTTATTAAGATTGGGAGGGGATGACTTCCAGTAATTCAGCATCTTTTGAATTAATAATCCATATCGTTTATATTGAGGCAAAACCATCTTGTTTGTTCTATTTCGACTTGCGACCTTTGATAGTCTGTGTCTCTTTATAGTTCATTATGGATCTTGTTAGTATAAGTTTAAAATTATTATTGTTAATTCTGAAGACATTCTCACAATTCCAGATGATGCTTTAAAAACAAAAATTCGAGCATGGATAAAGGAAAAGCTGGCATCGAAATCAAAATGAAAAGATTTAAATTTAAAGCCTCAATATAACGTATTAACAGACAGCAGTATATAGCTGCGAAGTGCTTTCATTTTGTAATCCTATCAGTGCTTTGAAATTTCAGAGGTTTTTTTCTAAATTTATTAATACATTTTTTTGAGTGCTTTGTATACTATTAACCTGACAGGGAGGTCTGTGTTGCTGTTTTTTCCTGCCAGATTTACAACTATAGGTTTCTATTAGGGTATAATTACGTTATAGGAAAACAAACATGGATAAGTTAAACTGATAAAGACGGTCGTGACGGTTAAAAGACATGATGCAGTTTTTGATAACGAAGTGACCTTGTTATTGTCTGTCTATTAAATTGTTTGGATTTTGTAGTATTCCGTTTAAAGCCACTCTCTCACTTATGTGCTTTGTATCACAAAATATAGTTCTTCGAAAAACCGAATCACAGAAACCAATCTTTTCGGCTAATCTCATTTTCCGGTCATTTTTTAATGACCATCCATACTATCATCATTTTGCTAGGGTTGATTTCCTCCGGATTCTATATCCATACCGGTTTAAATACAGATAATGAAAAGAACAAGATAGGGTAGTGGTTCGAGTGTTGTGGGAATCTTTCAAGATTGGCTTTTTTTTCATAAATAAGTGAATATGTTTTATGCACTTTCCAATTATTTGATATGTTCATTTTCGCTTGAATTCCGTCATGCATATAAATTCTCCTTTAGTGTTGTTTTTATAGTGGAAATTGAATGTTCAAATACTGCTTTACTTGCTTTATAAATTAACACATTCATTCTTAGCGCTTCATTTTTCAAAACTGCTTCATTTCAACACTTTTATTATTAATAGGCGAAAGATTGGTGTTATCGATCTTATTAGGTTACCTGTACCTCTTCAGGATAGTCTTCTTATAGTTTTATTTTGAAATGATGTTTCCTTCATCGTGTTTTGAATTTCTACGTTCTTTTCGTCTTTGTAAAGTATATTTCTTTGAAGATATTACTTTGGTTCAAAATGTGTATTAATTCAAGATTTTGATGAACTGAATATGTGCGCAAATTATGGTGCAAGAAACAGCGATACTGCGAACAGATTATACCATAGATTATGGAAAGAAATAAATGAGTCGTGCTAAAGACGAGGCGTAAGAATCTGATGATTTTCAAAATAAATAGACTTATTCAAAATGAATTAAGCAGAAATGAGAAGTTGGGAGTAACATATTATAACTACAATGACCTAGAATTCCCGAACATTCGTTTTAGTTTACGTCATAAGAATTTTGTGGGTGAAGTATTTTTTACTCGTGCTTTGTTTCACTGATGACTCCTTCCGTCCAATGTCTTGTGCATAAAAATCTGAGATGCATATGTAACATCTTGTATAAATCGTTGACTGAATCTTTTTTAGTGAACTTTTCTGGTTATTTTATAATACTAGGGAATTTTCCGTAATATGAAGCATTTTCATGGCTTGATCGAAGATAGCGTTGCAGAATCGATTTGTATAACAAAACAAAATTGTGGTGTTTTTGTTTTTATTTTTGAAAGAAGGGAAATAATACACATCTGCTTCAAACGTCAGTCAATGTGAATTCTTTTTTTAACAAATTCAATTGAAATCGTACAAGTATTATGATTACTTCATGGAGTACTTACTTTATCCAAGGTTGTGAATTGATGCGACCCGGCATGTCACTTCATAATCCCACAGTTGTTAGAAATCGATAATAGTTGTTGCAGTAATTTCTTTTTCAAGTTGAATAAAATTGATTGGAACAGTGATCAATTTTTTAGCTTTGTGGGAATGTTTGAAGTGAGATTTGAGTGCTTATTTCAGTAATGAAAAAAATCAAAATCAACTTTCATATCGTTAGCAGAGAACTGACAGTTTGTATAGATGAAATTGTCTGGTCATCCAGTATGTTCCTCATCCCATCTCATACCGGATAATAATTTTTCCTGAATAAAACATCGATACCAAATATGTTATTAATTTCATTCTTTCCCTGATCAGATCATTAACAGCAGAGCAAACTACGTCTACGGCTGATTTAATTTTTGCTCTCGTATACTTTTCCTTCCGAAAAAACTTCATAACTAATTGTCCAGTGGTTCTCAACCTTTCCTTGACTAGGGAGTACTTTAGCTTTTTCATCTCTAGCAAGGACCAGAGATTCAAAAATAATAAATCCTGTTGATTTGAAAATAAACTTCATTCGAGACTTTTAAGTTATTAGTGAAACTTAGAATAACAAGAAGAGACACAATTCTTTTAATAGCCCTAGCGGATCGCGGTTGGGTTGCGTTTGGGATCGCGACGATTAATTTAATCGTTTCAAGCAATTTTATTGTTACTATGCCAAGCATCCATTTGGTTCCCAACTTACTTTCCGGATGTAGAAGAATGATAATTACACGGTACAAATAAATTCCACAAAAATTTTTCAATCAGTTTTCCAAAACTAAGCTGCAAATCACTGGTTATCAAAATTCCCATAACACCATCTAAGTCGACCAATTTTCCATTGGGTTGTATTTTTTCATAACGATCCGTTTATTCCTAACATAAGCCGTGTGTTTGACGTAAGCAGTGTGTTTGACGTCCAGCCCTTCCTCTTCCATTTTTATCTCACTATCTGGTGAGTATGCCCGGGATCTTTCAGCATTTCGGGAATTCGAGTCGTAGACCCATGAAATCCAATGCCTTCACCATCGTGATACTATCCTTCATCACTTGTTGTGCAAATGACCCAGTGATCTCGAATCCCAATTCGATGTTTTGTTTACTGGGAGGAGGAGGGATAAAAAAAGCAGTGAATGATGTAAACGGAATGCTTTCTTCTCTTATTCCTGGACCTGACTCCCACATTTGCAGTGAAATCTTTAACAGACAAAGCGAATGACGACAACAGCATAGTACAGGAGACATACACTCGTCAGTTTGAATTGGTTGGCGGTGTTGTCACTGTCCACATGTAATTTTCCCACATTTTTTTTCATTAACGTTTTGTTTAATTCCTTTGATGGTTTCATGCATTTCAAATTAAATGTTATAAGTATTTTATAGCATAAATGATTGGTAAACTGACAGCAGTTTCGTGTTTGCTTACCCCATATTTTGCCCTATTTGTTGTAAACAACGTCGAATAAAAGGACAGAGACATCCCGAATAACATCTCTTTACTCCCTTTCTTCAGTGTGGAAGTATTCTTGCTGAAGTTCGATACGTCCGTACCTTCGAAATTCATCAATACGATTTCCCTTCTTTCTTTCACTATCCTCATTATTTGTTTCACTGAATTAACTGTTATAAATACTTATTCATAAGAGCTTGCTGATGCTTTTCATTTTGATAAACAATCATGAATTTGAACATTGACACTTAAGCAATATTTTTTTTGATCCCAAATAGTGTCATTATTTAGAAATCTGTTTATGATATGACTAAAATGAACCAACGAGATACGATTTGAATTTTTTTTGCATTATTGCTTCATCACATATAGAATTGAATGGATATTTCAACTGTTCATGAATTGCAATTTCAACTGATACATTTGTTATAATATAGTATGAAATTTATTATTAACCACAGACAGACAAGTTTGATTCATACTTCTTTTTCTGAATTTCATTGTTTTTAGATTTGTGAATATAATTTTTTTGGTGAGAATTTCACATGCATCTTCCTTGGTAAAGAATTCCCATGCATTTTTTGGTAGAAATTTCGCATTTATCTCATCTGCAGAAATATCTTAAGAAATATAGAAGCACTGACATGGATTGAAACCGGGAACCTGTTCCCTTAAGTACTGTTTGTCCTTGAAAGTTAAAATACCCAAGCATTTAAAAGTTACAGAACTCCAAACAAATCGATTTTCGCCATTAGTGAATTACTTTATCACTTTTTCCTGCATTTGAAACCAAAACATTTTTTGTTAAATGTTTTCATATAGGTATTAGAGAAAAAAAGACTGCACATATTTCAATATTTCAGTACTGCTCTTACTTATTTACAAATAATACTAACAGTGCAGGATTACAAAACCTGTAGTTTTACAGTACACCTCGGAAGCATTAATTCTTAAACATTAATAACGAGCTTAATTTCAATACATATTAAATTTGCAGAATGCTTCACAATGTCCTCATGCATTTCCTATTATTTCCTACTATGTAGGAAGAATAAAGAGAAGAAAGCAGGTTCCATCGAATTCAATAATCGATATTTTAACTCTCAATAATTAAATTTTGATTCTTGTAGGAGTTTTAACATCGCAATGGATCATCTTGTGGCTTCTTCATTCTCTTCAAATGATAAGAAAACTTTGTAATTTGTTTCCTATAATTTAATTATCAACAAAATTTTAGTTTATCTTCATATTTCCCTCGAAATAACTACTTTTTCTTTTTTTCATTAAAAAAGTAGAAGATGCAATTATCGTTGAAAATAGATATTTGAAAAGTTGTTTATGTTCTTATTTCCTCTCCGTCCTCATTTAGAGCCTCCGTCTTAGCTGTATGTATTTTTAGCGTTTAATCATCTCGTCAAAACCGATTCTTGGATAAAACAAAAATAACAGCTGTTCCTTTTCCTTCTTTTATAGCAAATATTCAAAGAGCAATTCCTCTTTTTCATAATGCTAACATAACAACAAATATCCCCATTATATTATCATGGCTAGGCTTCACGAACGAAGATATGGAAAAGGCTTTATTCGTGTTACTGCAAGTACGCTCATGGCTAAAAAGGTGATTCAGGATAAGTAGATTCAGTTGCAAAAGACATAGCGGAAAGTCTCCTTTTGGCAAGGCACGGTTTTTTCTCCTCGAGATAATTGTGTTATCAAAGAAAGCAGCAACGTTATAGATAGTGTGTTTTCGTGTCTTCCGACTGGAGGCCAGAGTGGACTATTGATGAAACCGAGGCTGAGACATTATTTCAGGGATTATCTCCTTTCTGGGGCTCTTCTGTCGACCCGGCGGCAAGTTCATTACAAGCATAATCTTTGGAAGGCCTCAATCCTAGAGTGGCCTGCCCAGCGCAGCTATGTCTTCAGTAGCATGGCTTCAATACTCCTGACCGCTGCCTGTTCAACGAGTCACATTAATCATACAATCAGTTAAATGAATATTTGGGATTGTACGGAGATAGCATGATGGAAGTGTCTGAAGAGTGCAAATGATAGCGGTTTATGACCAGACCCATATAAAACGTAGGCAGTACAATCGCTCTATTCACTAATACCTTCTCTTCAAATGTTTGTTGCTCCAGACTTTTATGAAGTTTTCCGAAAGTTCTGTGTCTCTGTTGTTTATCTCTCTTTCGATCTTACCATCCGAGGAAATGGTGCTTCATAGACAGTTGAACTGCTGGATTTGATTGATTTGCTTATGGTGATGTGGGAATGATGGAAGACTTTCCGAAATGTAGGTTGGTACAGAACTTCTGTCTTCTTCAAGCTGACTTCCAGCCAACAAACTCAGCAGGCTCTGCAAAGCATTCGGAGTTGCGGAGCTACTTCTGTGAGCAACGCGAGCAGCATCATCATCAAAAAGCAGCTCGCGACAAGATGGTTTAGAGTTTTTAATATGAGCCTTTAGTCGCCTTAGGTTGAAGAAGCTTCCATCGCTACGATGTTGGATGTAAATGTCATTTTCTTCATTGAAATCTGCTGTGGCCCTTTAAAGCATCATGCTGAAGAAGACTGTGAATAAGGTTAGTGCGAGAACAACCTTGCTTCGCACTATTGGTTATTGGGAAGGATTCAGAGAGTGCACCGCCATATGCAATTGTCGGACTAATACCATATGTGTGGTACTCCTGCTTGCTCTGAAGCCACATTAGCTTGGAGGTAGAACTTTTTTTGATATAGCGGGTACCAATCTGTTCAGAAGTATTCTTGCAAGGATTTTGCCAACAATAGAGAACAAGGATATCTCGGTAATTTGAGCGGTCTGATTTTACTTCTTCTTATATAGGGTGATAATGATTGCAAGATGGAGATTTGGTGGAAGTTTGCCTTTTTCCCAACAACGTACAACGAGTTTGTAAAATTTAGCATGGAGTGCTTGACCTCCATGATTCTATACTTCAAGTGGGATTCCATCAGATTGCTAGTTTTCACCTGCTGTATGGCCTTAAGAATTTCTGCCATAATAGGCCTATATCCAACTCACTTTTACCGATTGTTGCGTAGTGTACTAAATAGCTGAACCTTGGAATCTACAGTTAGCATTGGAGAGAGCCTGAAAATGTTCGATTCAGGGTGGAGGTTTTATCTCTGAGAAGCCCATCTGCGCTGAGTAGTAAGCTTTGAACGTAGTGTTGGAATTGTGCACTGCTTTCAGAGCCTCATAGAATCATCTGTGGTACATAGTTGAGCCTACCCTAATCTGCACGTAGTTGAGTCTTTTCTGCTAGATTGATTCACCGCTTTTGCTAGATGTCTTGAAGTTTCTATTGGAGCTTGCTGCTTGTAAGATGAAAGGTTGCTTACCTTACATGGCAAGATGGCTGAATGAGGTGTATTTGGTGACCAGTTCTCCTTGTCAACAGTTCTGAATCTCTTGGTTGTTCTTTATCATCAAACCATTCTTTGTTTTACCTTGAAGCAAATCCTACGGATTCTTCAGATGATTGCAGGATGCTGTTTTTAATGTTGTCAAGGGAATGGATGGAATGATTTTCAGGTCTAGTTTGAAGGTTTACCTGAAAGCTGTCTCTTACTATAACTTTTTGAAGATTGTTAAATTTTGAACTTCCTCTTTGGTAATGCCACTCTTCGTTCTGAGTTTGAAGTAGAGCTAAGTTGCATCTCATAAATGGATAGTCTCTGTGACATTTTGCGCTAAGCATCACTCGGATATGACAGACAGACATCGCGAATGTTTCTCTCGCACAATAAGACATAATAACAGCACACGAGTGTCAACTTGTGCACACCTTTAGAAGCAGATGTGTGCCTTTGTCTTTTTGTCTTTGTTCGATCGCGTCAAAAGATGCTCGTTGGCCACGGTTCACCAACTGGAGATGAGCTTTGGTTAGGCCACCTTTTCTAAGCCTCCGTAGCAGTGCCTTCCTTGAAAAAGGCTACTTAATCATTCAGAGTGTTACCGGCAAGACTGTCATCTCCGGGTGACCAATGTCCTGAACCGCCTCCATCCAGGGTTGGCGGCTTCCAGCATGCCTGGTCGCTTGCCGTTACATCCTTCTTCTGTCGATATAGGGCTTTACGAATATTGATGTATCATTAAATCTGCGCGGAGGATTCTTTACGTTAGGCACAACGTGTGTGGAACTAGCCTAATCCTTCTAAGATTCATCTAACAAGGACTGATGAGCTTGGACGACGACAGCGAAGTCCTTTTTCTTCTCCTATAGCAGTATTCAAAAAACATTTCCTCTTCCTTATGATGCTAACATAGCGACAAATATGCCCATAATGTACAGTATGTATTTCATACTATAAATCCGTGAATAAGATCCTTTCTTATTTTTCCCTTCATTCATTCTCTTCTTATATTCATTTGAGGTGAAACATTTCCTTCACATTCTTCTGCACTATTTCTATAGATTTTATGACATGACGTGTATCACTATTCATCAATCAAATCGTTTCATTATTAGATTTACTTAATCTTTAAATAATCTAATCAAGCCGATCACTGGGATTTTTTATCACGTTTATTCGTATACTAATAAGAATTGTTGGCATACATTTTAAAGTTATTGCAGAGAAAACTTACGAGAAGTCAGTTTGGTTTGGCAATTATGATTAACTTTCTTTCAAATGTAATTAGAGCATCAAAGGTAAGGGTAGATGATAAACTTTTTTTCCACTCTTTTATAAGCTTCGGGAGGGATTGAAATACTTGGTGATTTCAAGTTATTTCTTTTAGTATTAGAAATCGTCCCGTAATTCAGAAATCGTCCCTCATAAAAAATGTCATGATTCACTGTTCAGGTTTCATTATTTCCAGGTGCCTGTACAACAACAATCACTGGTAGCATTTTCGATTCGTTTAGCTAGCAATGAAGCATCTTTTCAAACGAAACCATACAAGCTACATCGATTGGACTCTGGGCCATCAACGAATGTTTCTGTTACAAGAGATGATGCTTTGGATTACTATCGTAAAATGATGGTTCGTTTCGTTAACTTCAAATATTGCTTCTGCTTCATCTTTTCTAGAAACACTAGGTAACATTCAATTATATCCGCTAATTTTACAAAAATTAACTAGTTTTCTAGGGAGCAACGTATTGCAGATAATCCGACGGATGGAAACAGCGGCAGGAAATCTTTACAAGGAGAGACTTGTCCGTGGTTTCTGCCATTTATATGCAGGACAGGTAATAATTTTTGTAGGTTATAGTCGGACAAGCTTAGCATTTCTTGATCTCTTCGTACGACTTTCAAAATATATATCTGAATTAATCGATTTATGGTAATTTTTCAGACACTTTTTATAACAGTATTCCTCTTTCATATCCTTTTGCATTTCGAATTTTCCCTTCTCTCCTGTTCACATCTGTTAAAGAGTTAAAATCAAAATATTTTATGATTAGGAAGCGATCGCAGTCGGACTTTGTGCATCGAAAGACAGCGAAGACGCTATAATTACTTCATATCGTTGTCACGCATGGACCTATTTAACTGGATCGGGAATCACACAAATCTTATCGGAATTAACGGGTTAGTAGTAAAGGAAGCATATTTCCACAACTTCTGAGCCGAATTTTGATGAACACAGTACTTGGAAAGTATCCAAAGTGGGTAAACTGACAAACTGGGATGAAACACCGAAAATAGACCGTTGCGGTATACAAATTTAGATTACAATGAAATTGAAGGTTCCTGGGATGTTCATCATTTTTTAGGTCGACGTACTGGTAATGTGCATGGAAAAGGTGGCTCCATGCATATGTATAACAAAAATTTCTTCGGCGGTAACGGCATTGTTGGCGCACAACAAGCACTTGGTGCCGGCCTAGCATTTGCTCATAAATACAATGAGAAAAAAAATGTTTCATATACTTTGTTTGGTGATGGTGCAGCAAACCAAGGACAACTATATGAAGGTCCCTTCTCCTTTCTTAATCTTTAATAATTTACTACTCTTTGTGAAAAGAGTCTTACTGATGAAGAAGTTCCAAATTGAATTATCCAAATTTATCGAATTTATATCAGGTAGTCATTCCATCAGTGCACTATTGTCAGGAAGCTGGTAGAATTCTGTTGTCATGAAGTAAAGAAAATTCTTCGGTATTTATGCAAACAGAAGACTTGAACATTTTTAAGAGAAAGTTGAGACTACTAGAGACAAGTGAACTTATTCAATTCTTCAAGTAGAAATGAGAGAGCTGTTCCACTCCCACGTCTAAAACAAGGTATTTTTTTAGTCATTAATATGTGTGCTTTATGGGATCTACCATGCATATTTATATGCGAAAATAACGGATATGGTATGGGTACACCAGCTGGTCGTGCATCTGCTGTAACAGACTATTACACACGTGGCGATTATATACCAGGTATTTGGGTAGGTTTTATAATGATCGTTTTAGGAACTTAGTCTGCAATAGCAATTTATCCTCAAATAATCAACAGTGTTTTGAAATAACTCTAGGCTGATGGTATGGATGTTCTTGCCGTTCGAGAAACAATCAGATGGTCGAGAGAATATTGCAATGCCGGAAAGGGACCTCTTATGCTAGAATTTGCTACCTATCGATATTCTGGCCATTCCATGTCTGACCCGGGAACGAGGTTCGCATCATTCAGAAATTTCAGAGGTTCTAGAAAAGAAACAAAAAAAAAGAAAAATGAATGGCTAACTTCTGTTACTACTCTTAGCGTATCACATGTATTTTTAGTTATCGAACTCGAGACGAGGTACAGCAAATGCGCAAAACTCGCGACCCAATCACAGGTTTCAAAGATAAGATTATTGCTGCCGGATTGGTTACCGAGGAAGAATTAAAAGGAATCGATAAAGAAATCAGGAAAGAGGTTGTCCCTAGCTTTCCATATTTGAAAAACTAAATTACATAGCTTTTGATAAAAAGTTATTCTTTTCAAATTGTTTGGAAATTTACCTCATCATCAGCAAGACCAGAAAATGCCATATTCTATAGTTCCATGCATACTACTATATGATGTTTTTTCTATTTTTTATTTTGAAAAAAAGCCTCCATGCCTGCTCTCAAAACATTATACCTGATCTGTTTTTTGTAGTTGAACTGCTGACAGTTCTAATTTCATACTTGTGGAGTAACGTTGAAAACTTGTTGCTGAAATGAACGAAAACTATTTTTTGAGTTCAAAAATTAAAACTGGGAAAAATGTCGAAATTGGTAATTTAGTTTTTAAAAATAAAAATAAAAATCAGGTAAACGTGCTGTAAGTGTCACAATAGATTCCGTTAAATTTGAAGAATTGTATTGCTGTTATTTGATTTTTAATTTTTTAATAGGTTGACGCAGCTGTAAATATTGCACGGACTGAACCTTCACTTCCACCCGAATCTCTTTACTGTGATATTTATCATAATACACCTCCGCAATATGTACGTGGTGTCACTCTGGATGAAAGCGTCGTACAAAAGCATTGCAGAACCGAAGACTTGATAAAATCATTGAAGTTGAACTGTTGATTGTAACTATTTCCACCTTTATACTTTGTAAAGAGAAAATGAACCATGACATTTTACATTTTCATTGAGCAATCGTTTTCACTTTTTCATTCATTTTCGATTCCAAAATATTCCTTAGTAGGTCCAAGTAGGTTTTTTGTTGTTACCATCTTACAGTTCCCATCCTTATTAGCTTTTTTGACTACGTCCTTTTTGATAATATATATTTCATTTTATTGGCGGAAGTTATTAGTATTATACTGCTGCTATAAATGAAGTGTATTCTTTCGAGCAAATTATACTTTTGCAGATTTAATGTAGAGGAATTTGAAGTTGTAAATGTTTCACTCGAAGTGATTCATAAATAAATTATTCCATTAATTTCTACACTGTCTACTTCTTTTACACGCTGCATTGTTTTTTTTTTCTGAATATTCAAAGCGATCTTCTGGAACCAATCAAAAATTAAAATGTAAATATGTAACCGTTGATGAGAGAATAATCCAATGATGGTAAGAAGGTTCAGAGTTTATGGACCAAAAGACTTATGAAGCCAGTTAAAAGCAGAGATTGATTTAAATATGAAACTATGAAGTAACAAATTAAAGGTTGATGAATCAAGAAATAAGATAAAAATTGTAAATGCATAAAAGGATCAGAACATATTGTTTTTTGTGTCAAAAAGATCGAACCAATGAATGTGACGATAAGTTGATGATTGTCTTCTAAGTGAGGACATATGAAGATGACAGATTACAAGCAGGCAGCAAGAAACATATTTTCTTGTCAATCCTAGAAGTTCGAAGTTTGTTTTGGAGAAAAGAAAGTATGAGATGTGAAATTGAGCGCATTATGTTGCAAAATTTATCTGTTGTCTGTATGGGTTTTGGAATGGAGAGATTCCCAAGAGGTTGTCAACATAGCTGTTTGACAGGACGACGAAAAAAAAGCTTTCTCTAGTACTCAGTCACAGATGAGGGAAAGATTGGGATCAAGATTATAAGAAACAGGCATTACTGATGGATTGATACTATCGATAATTGTGAACAACAGCAATCATGAGGCATATTTCAACGAGAAAAGAAAAACAGAAATGACTGTAAAATGATAAGAACACTGATCGATCAGTCTAGGAATACGTTTGAATTGATGAGTGATAGCCACGTTTCCTGCATCCACCATCAAATGGTCACAACTAACTAGATAGGTTACCCGAATACTTCAATCTAGGCACGTTCCTTAGTCCTTTATATCCTTTCTCGTAGAAAATAACTTTTCCATAGTACTGCTTCTTGTTCACTTTTGAGTAATGGAGTGAAGGATTCGGATTCCTTGTTATGGTAAAGAAGTATTTAAAGGATTCCTGAAGGATTCCTTATCATGGTAAAGAAGGATTTAAAGGATTCCTTATCAAGGTAAAGAATTTCCCAAGAATCCCACGCATATCATTAATGCGAAGATCGCACATGCGATTCGTATTCCAGGATGATCTCTGATCATCAAACCAAAAATGAAACATAGAAATGAATACTTAAGCAGAAGCTTGTGAGCGTGAAAAATCGAAAATTTTAAAGATGATATCATTGGAATCGAATAGCAATTTCGAATAATGATATGGTCGTGATATATGGATGATTGAAAAAGCGAAAGTATGGGATGTTAAGGCGGAGAGAGAGGTCTTGAATGATAACGGGGAAGCGGTCTTGAGGAGCTGGCATATCCGAAGTCGAGAGAATGCGGGATTCAATGGGCCGGATTGCTATTTTTTGTTTCTTTTTTTGTCTCGAGGAGTATAATTCTAACTGAAAAATTTCGAAGTCTTTAAAAGTTATCACAATGCAAGCAAAATGTCTGAACAGTCTTATCTGTGATCCAACGTAAACAAAAAACAACTGTTCAAATTTGATACTTATCTCAAATACAAATTCGAAATTCAAAATTCTATCTTTGCATCTCAAATTTCAATATTATTTATGAATAAATTTATTCTAACAATCTATTTAGCATAAATTTGAAATAATAATAACAACTTACCTGTCCTAACCTGGTCCGTTTGAAGCTTGACCGCAAACCTGAACTGGAACTTAAGCTCTTCATGATAATCATTAATCCGGATAAGATAAATAACTTACAGTTGGATCAATCATTCTTGAACTATATGCAATTATTTGTAATCTTAAAGACTGATCAGGAACAATTGATGGTTTTGCTTTATTGGCTTAATAGTGTCTTAATAGTGTTGAACTTGTTGATAATTCAGGAATGACTTACATAGGAATGGCTGATAATTCTAGATGATTGGATGACTAATAATAACTCCTAATACAGACTGTTGTTTCATTGTATACTCATCGCGTCAGATTGATTATGCAAATTTTTTTAAATTTTTAATTTGATAAGATTCATTACAGTAAATGCAATGTCATATTGTCAGTTTTGTGGTGGTGTAGAGCGGTGCATATTCTTTGGATCTGTTGTAAAGCTATTCAGTGAAATATGTTCATCGCTCTATCTATTGCTAAAGTAAGAATAATCATGGGACAATTTTTTTTAAATCATTCCTACATCACTTCTTCTAATATCTGATATAATATGTTATAGGTTCATTCAAGATTTGCTTTTATCTTTTCATCATTAAAAAATTATTCGAAATCTTTCATAATGAAATCAAACTTCAAATACTTATAATTATCTGTCATTATTAGGCATTTTCTACATTACGACACCAATCATTCATCGTTCAATCAATTCGTCATGTTAGTGAAGCATCATTCCAAACGCAACCATTTAAACTACACCGATTAAATTCTGGTCCATCAACAAATGTTACTGTTAACAAATCAGATGCACTGAAAATGTATAGGCAAATGCAGGTATCATTCTTTTAATAAGGTATCAGTGAATTAGTGAAAGTACTATTTAGGACCATTAGAATGTATTATAGCCAATCTTCTATTAGCACATCTATAAACTCAGTTTTATAAACTGTTCTTTAGCCAGTACCAATTTCTACCACATATCAATGCTATCATATCATTTGATAATTTGTATCTAAAGATGAAAACATCAATGTTCACGTCAGATTATAAATAACATTTATTTATTATCTTTCTAAAAAATAAAATATTTTCAAATACATTACGTTGTAGTTTTATTCCCAAAAGTTCCTTAAATCTTTTAATAAAATTTTTTCAAAAAATTTAGGTAATTCGTAAAATGGAGCAGGCATCAGAATTATTGTATAAAGAACGAAAAATTCGAGGTTTTTGTCATCTTTATGCTGGACAGGTTAGGAGATTTTCTTTTTTTTTTTGATAAACTATTTATAATTGCAGTTTTGTTAATGGATAACTTTCAACTTATCATCATTTTATCAATACAACGATCAATAAATAAAGATTATTGATATGGTTTAGGAGGCTTGCGCTGTCGGGCTTTATGCTGCAAAAGATCCTGATGATGCCATTATAACTTCGTATCGTTGTCATGGATTTGTTTATTTGGTCAGAAATAGTATAAAAGAAGTACTTTCTGAACTACTTGGTTAGTTTCACTTTAAAAAAGTTCAAATTTAACACTGATAAAACATCAGTGTCATTTCGTTTCAATTTGTGACTGTAAACGGAAATAAAATATTGAAATAGCAATTCCTAATAGGAAATGTAAGTAATATTCAGTTATTGTAAATGAGAGATTACAGTTATGTTTGCTATCGCAAAAGTAAAATCATTTTTATTCTGTAGGTTTATTTATGCTATTGACATCATACTTTGAGACAAATATTCTCCGAGATTAAATGGTGAACTTCTTTTGAATGACATTTAATATCTAACTCAAAATTTAGGCCGTTCACATGGTAACGTCAATGGAAAAGGTGGTTCAATGCATATGTATGGCAAAAACTTTTATGGCGGTAATGGAATTGTTGGTGCGCAACAGCCAATTGGAGCTGGCATAGCTTTTACAATGAAATATAAACGCAAGCCAAATTTATGTTTCACCTTATACGGTGATGGTGCTGCAAATCAGGGGCAACTTTCGGAGGGTAATACTTACTTTTATCTAATGTTTGAAGATCATATATAAAAAAAAAAAAAAGTTTGATATGTATAGAAGATAGTACGTTTAATCTTTTCATTTTATTTTTCGAAACTTCCTAAAATTTTCAGCAATTCGATAATCCATAAAATGAAAGAAGCATTACATTTATTATGTAATATTTCCTATAATTCAGGAATATGAGAGCAATTATTAAAATGTTTATACAGCTTTATGCAAACTGAGAGATTCGTTGTTTTTCATTATTTTCAAGTTCGTTGCAGAATTCCAGAATTACACTATTAAACATGACAAAATATCATATTATAGTTGATAAAAATATACACTATTATAGTTAATTATCTTTCAAAACATAGCATTGCATGATTTGATACAGTAAGCGAATTACGCTTTATGATCAGGAATATTACTGTACGTTTCATGACCAGGAATATTACTGTCAAAGAATTCAATAGGAGCAGGAAATAGCTTCAGGTATATTATGTAAGGTAAAATAAGCTTTAATCAGTACAATTTTAGCGGCAAATCTTTGTGCTTTATGGCGTCTACCATGTGTTTTCATTTGTGAAAATAATGGATATGGATTGGGTACACCAATTTCACGATCCTCTGCATCAACAGATTATTATGCTCGTGGCGATTATATTCCCGGAATTTGGGTAAGACATGTCTTTTTTTTTCAATGAGAATATAAAAGACTAGAGAATTTGCCCATTAATCAAAGTGACAAATTTTTACGAATAAAAATTAGGTTGACGCCATGGATGTGCTTGCGGTACGAGAGTCGATTAAGTTCGCCAGAAAATATTGCACTACTGATGGTAACCGTCCATTATTTATTGAATTCGCAACCTATCGATTCTACGGTCACTCCATGTCTGATCCAGGAACAAGGTGATCAAATTTATTGAAGATGAACATTTCAAGCATAAAGTTTGTTCAAACCATTTAGAACTAGGCCTCGAATTATTCTCTTTTTTTACATTTTTAAAATTTAACTGTTTAAAACTTACAGCTACCGAAGTCGTGAGGAAGTACAAAATGTTCGTAAGACATGCGATCCGATTTCGCTGTTAAAAAATAAAATCCTAGCTTCTAATTTGGCTACGAAGGATGAAGTGAAATTAATTGAAAAACAAGTAAAAGATGAGGTGATTCAATGACAAACGACATTTTTACTTTAAAAAAAAAATGCTATTTATAAGCTGAGAAAATGTTGCCAAAAAAAAAGAACTTTACTTCTTCCAATTTCCCAAAGTATTCTGGCAATACTATCATTCAAGAAAATAGTTAGTTAAAATTAACTTTCTTCCCCAACTATTGGATTCCAGCATAAGATTCTTGTTCAAAGTAGTTATCAACTTTCATATCTTGAGGAGCAAAGCGGTTCCTTTGATCTTTGCATTTTCACTCATTATATGTTTGAGAGTTGCAAATAGAGTTGTCTCAGTAAATTATTAATATGTTGGCTGTTATTTGACCTCATTAAATTTTTTTTTGACCCTCTATCATTTAACCTTATTAAAATGACTAGTTCCAGGTAAACGAAGCAGTTAAGTTTGCAAGGGATGATCCGGTAATTTCTATGGATGCACTTATCACTGACATTTATCACAATACGCCACCCATTATAGTTCGTGGTCGTACGATGGATGATATCAAAGTACAGCCGTATACTCGAACGAGTGATATCATTTAGAAATTCCAAAAGTGTCATCTAATTAAATTAATTGTGAATGATAAAATGATAAATAAAGGTTAGTTTCAGGTAGGCTGTTATTTGTGATTTTCATGTCCACTCTAGTAATTGTTGCTATTTCAACAAATTAACAACACTACAAAACATTACATTTTTTTAGCTCAAATTTGGAAGAATTTCTAATTTCGTTAACAGAACTTCAATCATCACATATAATTTACAATGATGTAGTAAGACTATCCGATCATGATTCTTCCTGATTATTATAAAATATAGGGAAGGGTTTTTGATGACAACAATCGAAGTAGAAACAGTTTTCTGGATATTTGATTAGCGGATGAAGCCAACCTGCATATTAATTATTCAGCATTTATTAGTCTTTTTAATGCAAGCATAATCTGACCAGTTGTTTGATTCAGAACCGGCATACTTCAACACTCAAATTCATACTTGAATGACCAATTTCCACTTTGTTTTATGGTCATTTTTAAGGAACAAAAAATTGGAATCCTTCAATTCAATAACACGTTTGAATGCTTTATCATTTGTCTTTTTGAAATTCTCTATCAACTCCATTAAAAACTCTATCAAAGGCTTATCTTCTCCTTTTAAAAAGCCATCAGTGATCCAATCGATGCTTAGCTTTTTACAATAAATAACAAGTTTAGCTGTAGGAGATCAACATTTTTTTTTTTATTCATGACAATGATTAAAATAGAAGCGTCCCTTAATTTACAACCATTGAATTATCAACTTGATGTGCTAGGACCTTCCGATAAGAATGAATTATGATGAGACGGTATGGGATGTATGTATTCGCAAAATATTAAAACTAAATTTACCAAGAGAACGGGGATATAAATACAAAGATGACCAGCTGTCAATTGGCACAATCAACAGTAAAATAATTGGGAAGGGAATATCAGAATAAAGTTTATACAGTTATGCTATTATTGAATGGTATTTT